GGCTGTGAGTTTTAACATACTGCCAAAGTCGATTTTGTTTTAACTTAACTTATTTTCCAGTACACATTTTTTTCATGATGCTTTGCTTTTTTTTTTTTTTTTTTAATGCCTCAACTGGCAGCAAGTGCTTTTCTGGGTATTGCACCTCTCTTTTTTTGGTGCTAAGGCAGCAGTACATAGACTGATTTCTCTGACTTTGAGCAACCCCAGATGGCTCCACTTGAACAGAAAAGAAGTTGAAAGAAAGCTTAATCTTATAACCCCTTCTATAAACAATCTGAAAAAATTGGTTAGGCTTCTGGCAGGCGGTATTTTACTTCCGTGAGGTCACGCGGCACAGCGCAAACAACACAGAACTCTCAGTTAGGAAGACGTGGGATCTGGTCCCATTTTTGCCATTGGTTTAAACACACAAGTTTACTCAGCTACCGCAGGCTTGTTTCCTCGTCCATGAAATGGACTAAACAATCTCCACATTATTAACACCTTACAACTCTGCTTTCCAAAAACGAAAATGCATTTATTAATATAAGGCAATATCAGGCCCTTGGCAATGAGAGAAGAAAGTAAAAATCTGCAACAGAGAATAATAGAAAGATCAAAACCTGACAAATATCAGATGTTCTCACTCATATTTGGGAGCTAAAAATGTTGATTTCATAGAAGTAGGGAGTAGAATGCTAGACACCAGAGACGGGAAGGTGGGAGGGGGGCATGAAGATAGGTTGGTTAATGGGTACAGACATCCAGTTAGATACAAGGTATAAGTTCTAATGTTCCACAGCAGGGTCCGGTGACTATAGTTAACAACAGTGTATTGCATATTTCAAAGTACCTGGAAGAGAAGACTTGAATTGTCCCCAACACATAGAAATGATAAATACTCAATGTGACAGATACCCCCAAATGCCCTGACTTGATCATTATACATCCCATGCATGTAACAAAATATCACATGTATCCCACAAATATGTATCAATAAAAAATTTTAAGAGGGGGGAAAGCTGAATACTAAATCCAGAGGCCCTTATAGTGTTCACACTCTTTCAGCTTGACTAGCGACACTTCAGTACTGACGGAAGACCTGTACGACTTCTTCCTTAAACGAGCCTTTCTCTCCTAATAACTGCATTTCACGGGTGCGTTCTTCCAGGTGGACTGGAGATTGCTACTAGTCCAGAGCTGCACTGTCCAATGCAGTAGCCACAAGCCACACGGGGCTGTTAAGCGCCTTAAACGCGGCCAGTTGGAACTGAGATGTGCTGTCAGTGCACGGGAATCTGAAGACTTAGTACGAGAAAAGAATATAAAACATCGCAATATTTATACTGATTATATGTTGGAATAATAATAGTTTGGATGCATTGGACTCAATAAAACAGATGATTAAAATTCATTCCACCTGCTTCTTTTTGCATTTGCTAACGTGGCTACGAGAAAAATTAAAACTTAACCTATGTGGCTTGTATGATATTTCTACTGGACGGTGCTGCTCTAGATATCGGAATCCAGAAAGTGACTAAGACTCAAACTCTGAGGCGAAGCACTTTTTTCAGTTCTCCCCCAGAGAGCTGATTCCACTCACTGCTCTGCTGCCAGCGCCATCCGGATTTTCCAGGGCCATGCCCAGCGCGCGGCACACGTGGGCCTCCCGCCAGGCGGGCCTGCGCCGGAGGCTGCGGTGGAGGCGGTGGCCCGGGTGGCTGACGCCAGGGGCGGCCGAGCGGCCCAGGCGCCCTGCGCAGCCCGCGAGGGGAAGTCCCCGGCGCGGAAACAGGTGGCGCGCCGGCCGCTCGCAGCTGCTGGGCCCGCGGCGCCCACACCCGCCTGGGCGCAGCCGGGACGGAGACGCGCTTCCTGCTCGGGAAGGGCCCGGGCGGGGCCGGCCTTAGCGGTCCCGCAGCTGCCTGCTTCGATTTGAGCGCGCCTGCTCCGAAGAGGGTTTGAAATGCAAATTATTCAGATCAGGGGAATTTACGTTTCA